TTAATGTAGGCCAGGCATAGTGGCACACACTTGTAATACCAGTACTCGGGAGGCTGAGGCAGGAGGAACACTGTTAGTTCAAGGCCAGTCTGGGTTACATAATGAGTACAAGGCCAACTAGACTACATAGCAAGACCCTATCTCAAAAAAAAAAAGCAACAGTGCATCAACATTCAAAACTGACAAAGCAAAATAATGTGTAAACTAGAAGACAGATTATTTGAAAATACACAATCAAAAGAGATAAAGAATAAAAAGAAATGAAGAAAATTTTCAAGATTTACAGGACTCCAGTAAAATAGCAAATGCACAAATGACTGGTATTCAAGAACAAGTATAAAAAGTTTTGTTGGACCAGGGATTTAGCTCAGTGGTTCCACTGCCTACCTCACATGCGCAAGTTCCCATGTTCAATCCCCAGTACTAAAAAATAAGTTGTGTTGAAGTAACAGCAGAAAACTTTCCAAAACTAAAGATATAAATATCCAAGAACAGAAAGTACAAAGTCTCTAATCATATTCAATCCAATAAGATTATACATGACATACTGCAATTCAACTGTCCAAAAACAAAAAGAGCTTGAAAGCAGCAAAAGAACTAAATTATATACAAATTACAATACACCTATCAACAAACTTCTCCTTATATAAACTTCACAGACCAGAAAGAGTGAAATGATGAACTTCAAAGGGCTGAAAGAAAAAAACCTGACAATCAAAAATACTGTGCCCAGCAAAGCTGTCCTTCAGAAATGAAATACAGGTATTTCCAGGGCTGGGGATTTAGCTCAGTAGTGCCAGTGCCTGCCTGGCAAGCACTAGGTCCTGAGTTTGATCCCTGGTACCAGAAAAAAAAAAAAGGTATTTCCAGACAAAAACTAAAGACAAGTATCTGTGTTCATCAGGGATATTCACATGCAGTTTTCTTTTGTCTTTTTTTGCTACACCCTTAATCTGGTATTGCTATCAAGGTAATGCTGGCCTTGTAGAATGAGTTTAGAAGTATTCCCTTCTCTTCAGTTTCTCTGAATAATTTGGGAAGTTCTTTAAATGTTTGACAGCATTCAGCAGAGAAGTCATCAGGTCTGCGGCTTTTCTTTGATGGTAGACTTTTATTAATTCAATTTCCTTACTCATTATTAGCCTGCTCAGATTTTCTATTTCTTTATAGTTAAATCTTGGCAGGAGTACGTATATTATATTTACCCATTGAGTTTTACACTCTCAAATGTGTTTTCATGTTACTCATTAGTGTTCCTGCTTTTCAGCTTGAAAAACTCAGTTTAGCATTTCTTGCCCCACATATACAAAAATTCCCCAAAAAACACTAGCAGCTCAGTGATAGAATACTGTTCTAGCATGTGCAAGGTCCTGAATTTGAGCTCCAGCAACACACACACACACACACACACACACACACACACACACACACACACAGTATCTTCTGGATAAAGTTCAACTTTCACAACCTACCTCTCTAGCATCCTCTCCTCCACTCCTCCATAAATGTCCTTCACATTTTCCACCCCTAGGTATTTACAAAGTCACTATTTCTTGGTCCCTTTATGGCACAGTACACATGCTTCTGTCCAGACTAAGCACCTTCTTCACCATCACGTCCCAGACTATGCCCAGCTACACAGCAAATAATGCCTCCAAAATCACTCACTCCAATAAATTTTTTCAGGCATCCCTATATCCCAAAATAGAACCCCCTCTCTCCCTCCTTTTTGCTATTACCCTCACACACCTCTAGCATATATTTTTAACTCATCTTTCAAGGTTAGAAACCATTATTATTCCCTTTCATATATCCAACATCTATGAAATCACTTCTTTTTTTAAAAGTTCATTAAGTTAATAAATGTCATGTTATTTTAAGGCTGACCACAGTTTTCATGTAATATTTAAGCCCACCACACCAAGTGTTTGCACTTCTGTGCATATGCACACACACACATATATGTGGACAAAAGACACAAAAATTTTTGGTATACCCGCAATGATTCACAGTAAAAATGCACAAAGACTGTGGTGATGTAAGTTCAACTCAACTTTTGACATACTTCATACTAAATTATTAATAAATCCTTTCTCTGATGAAATCACTCAGAAAGGTAGAATTTTCCCAGGTTTTCAGACTCATGTATTTTAGCACTAAGATCCTTTTTTAAAATATCCTGATACTGCCCTAATTGACATCATTCTGCAGTAATAATGCCTTGGTACTTTTTATTAGACAGTGATACTTTAAAAAATGAAAAGGAGTGAAAAGAATAAATAGGAGGATAGGAAGGAGGTTTAATAGCGATATCCTCACACCAATTACAACATAATAAAACTCTTTCTAAAAAACATGATTAGCTGATGGCTTGAAAGCCTAAGCGGCTTTTAAAGGAAATAGAACACAAAGTACAAACAGAATGCTTTCCTTTTTTTAAAAAAAAAAAAGGAAATAAAAAAACTAAATAGTGAGCCAGGGATTTAGCTCAGTGGTGCCACCACCTGCCTCATAAGTATTAACAGAATTAACCACAGGCTAGCTACTTACATTTATGCACAGCAATACATAATGAAAAGACAGGAAAGTTTCACACAAAACCTTCTCAGGGCAAATGCAGAAGGAAAATGAAAATAACAGTGCTTGCCAGATATTTGTGTTGTGTTTTGTTTTGTTTTGCTTTCTTTCCCAGCACTGAGGACTGAACCTTTTGTACTGAGCTACCTCCCCAGCCCTTTTCAAATTTATTTTGAGACAGGGTCTCACCAAATCACTAAATTGCCCAAGGGTGGCTCAAACTTGCAATCCTCCTGCCTTAGATTCCCAGAGTGCTGGGTTTGCAAGCATGTGCCATCATGCCTGTCTCTCTCTCAGATAAGAGTTTATTCATGTTTTATTTAAGCAATATAAAAAAAATTTAAATACAGTTTGCAAACTCCCTCCTCAGAGATAACCAAGAATAACAATTTACTTGTAATATTAAAGATTTTCTGCCTGCATAATCAAATTTTATATATATATATATGTATGTATGTAAAACACACATATATATTTAAGTAAGTTAAATGACAATTCTGCCTCCAGAAAATTGAGTAGATATACTTTTCTCAATTCTTCCCAGTAAGTACAACTAAAACCCTAGGATGTAAAAGATAAATAATACATCAAAAGATAGATAAAAACAGAACCTCAGGACCCAGGTGAACAACGTGGTAGCAAGTTCCCTGGTTTTGTTTTGTTTGTCTCATACAACTCAAACCTGGACCTGAAGAAGTCAGTAACCCAGAAACATCAATGAGTACAAAGAAAAGAGCCTGACAAAAAACTGTTTTTTGGTTTTTTTGGTCTTTTAAAAATTTTGTTGACTTTTTGAGACAGTCTTCCTATTCAGTTCAGACTGGCCTTGAATTCACTATGTAGCCTCGGCTAAGCTCAAACTCACAGTGATCCTCCTGCCTCAGCTTCTCAAGTGCTGAGATTACAGGTGTGCACCACCACACCTGGCTCTTACTATTTTTTGAGATAGGGTCTCACTACATAGTTCAGGCTGAGCTTGAACTCACAGCCATTCTCTGCCTCAGCCTCCTGAATGCTGGGGTGGATTATAGGCATGTGACATGATTCCCAGCCATATATCAGCATTTTTGAGGTGGGGGGTACTGGGGATTAAATTCAGGACCTTGAGTTTGAAAGGCTTATTCTAAAAACTATTGGATTGTGGATTGCTACCTAATGGTTCATTATTATCACTACCTCAAAATTTATCTTATTATGTTCTTCTTTTAGATGATGACCAAAATTTACTAAGCTACTGGTCAATTCAATGAACAGTTACCTCAAATAGTAAAACACATAGGATATATTGTTCATTGTTTTATATCCTGGGCATCTAATTTCCTTCCACATTTCTTTTCCCCAACCTGCCATTCACGAATTCTTACATACTTCAGAGTATAATGCTGCCTAGTTTATGACTAGTAGCAGTAACAATACCATAAAAAATAAACACAATTAGGGTCAGGAATTTAGCTCAGTGGCACTAAGCCAGCCTTGCAAGCGTAAGGTCCTGAGTTCAATCCCCAATTCAAAAAAAAAAAAAAACTCCACAATCACTGGAATTATAATTTCTGCGAATGTCACATATATGAAATTATAATGAAAGAAAACACTTTAATAGGATACCTTTTAATTACATGAATAAAACATTCAAAAACATGTTATCTACCTACCTACACGTACCCTCCTGTTATTCCAGTATTATATAGAATAAAGATTTCATCTATTATTTCTTTAACTAGCTCACAAACTGTTTACCACTTCTTTCCTTTACAGCTACTATATTTTTTTTCATTACTGCTACTACATTAAGTTGACTTTTTTTTTTTTTTTTTTTTTTTTTTT